GGCCCCACCGAGGCGGCCGCCGTGGCGCCGGCGGGGCTGGTGCGCGCCGCGCCGCAGGCGTCCTCAGGGGCAACGAGAGGGGGGGATGGGCATAGGGTTCAGTCGGGCCTGTCCTCGCAGGCTTAGAGGTTGACACCAGCACCAGGATCGGCGGTGTGCCTCCACCGAGGGAAGACGCTCCCGATCTCGGTGACGGTGGTACTATCTTGCATTCCAAGGTGGCCGAAATATTGCCACCAACACCGAAATCTAGGATCATCTTCCCCCTGTGGAGGCACCCCCTGGTGTTGGTGTTGGTGCCCAGTTCCAGGCCTCCAATGTCCCCCTACAGGAGGAAGATTCAAAAATAGTCAAAACATAGTCTGGGGACCCTTTTTTCAGCATTTTTTTGCCATTTGGGAGTATTTGTTGGGTATTCTTTATTTTTCGTCGAACATTCCCCTGTAGGGGGACACGCCCGACTGAAGCATAGGGGGAGATGCACAGGGCCCCCGATCGCCCATGGATCGCCGAGAGGGGCCCGCCATAGTCCCACTCTGCCCAGGAGGGTGTGGCTTCACCACCGGGGGCCCCTCGCCGATCTTGCGGCGACGTGTCGCCGGTTCCGGGTCGATGCTCTCCCCCCTACAGCCGGGGCCCTGCAGAAGGAACCCTTTTCGTTGGGGAGGGGCTCGGTGTTCCTTGATTGTTCGACAGTTTGCCTTCTGTTTTCCTGAGGTTTTCCATGGGAAGTCGAAATTGAATTTATGGGAGAAAGGGGCCCCGTTCCTTATTTAGGGTTCCTTAGGTCAACGCCCCGACTGTATGCCCATCTCCCCACATCGTTGCCCCTCGCGTCCCTGCCGGCGGCGGCCCCCGCGCCCGCGCGGCCGGGCGGCTTCCAGTGCCTGGTCGCGGACGTCGGCCGGGACTCGGTGCTCTGGGCCTCCCATCTGGTGCCCGAGCTGATGGGGTCGGAGGATCGCGCCGCATCGCCGAATCATCGCCGATGCATCGCCGATGCTTACCAGCCTGGAACATATCCCTATCCCTATGCTGGGCACCTCCTCGTCACGATGCCAGTCTTAGGGATTCCCTTATTTTTGAGGGCGAGCCCCTAAGATTGTCATCGCCTTTTGGCGTGTCGATCTTAGGGATAGGGATACGTTCGAGGCTGGTAAGCATCGCCGAATCATCGCCGATGCGTCGGCGCGGAAGCAGTCGGGCGCCACATCGAGCCGCATCGCCGCTGCATCGGCGGCGCGGCTCGACCCTCCGGCCCCCAGCTGCGCGTGCCCCACCGGGGAGGCTGCAGGTGAGCCTGGAGGTCAGCTGGAGCCCGCCCCCGGAGGCCGACCATCGAAGAAGAACAGACCACAGAAGCAAAAACTTTTGGCGCTCGGCGCGGATTTCTCGGATCCGCGCCTGCGGGCCCCCAGCGGCGCCTCCGACGCCGCCCCTGGCGCGCTCCGCGCGCCAGGGAGGGGGGCCCCAGGCGCGGATCCCAGAAGTCCGCGCGGGGCGCCAAAAGTTTCTGCTCATGTGTGTTTTCTTCTTCCAGACCAGGCCAGCATCAGCCACTACCTGGTGACCCTCGAGCTGGACGGCGCCGGCGCGGGCCCCTCGGCTCCGCGCCTCTTGCGCCGGGTCGCGGCCCCGGCGCCCCGGACCCGCGTGCGGCTCGCCGGCGTCGCTCGTGGGGGCTGCTACGTGGTCGCGGTGGCCGCCGCGGGTCGCGCCGGGGAGGGGCCGCGCTGCGCGGCCCGCGTGCGCGTGCCGGCCGAGGCGCTGCCCGCAGGGGCCGAGGCGGCGGAGCCGCGGCACCAGCTCGTGCGGCTGGAGTGGAGCCCGGCCGAGGCTGATGGGCAAGTTTTTCCAGCACCGCTACCATAATTTAATCATGTAGGGCGGGGGAGAAGAGAGGATGAGGAGGTTCTCCTGCTCCCACCTCCTCCTCCCTCCTCCTCCCTCCCTCCTCCCCCTCCTCCTCGAATCCTCCCCTCCTTTCTCCTCCTCCTCCTCCTCTCCTCCTCCTCCTCCTCCGCCTCCTCCTCCTCCTCCTCCTCCTCCTCCTCCTCCTCCTCCCTCTCCTACCTGTGGTAGTGGTGGTACCTGTGGTAGTGGTGGTGGAAAATGGGCCCATCGGAGGCGTCAGCCACCGCGGGTTACCGCGTCTGGAGCCGCCTCGCGCACTCCGGCGCAGAGTGGCAGGTGCTGGTGGAGAACACGTGCAGCCCAGAGCCCGCCGTCACGTGCTCCCTGCCTCGGGGCGAGCAGTTCGAGTTCCGGGTGGCGGCGGTCGCTCCCGATGGCCTGCTGTGCGAGGCGGAGGCAGCAGCAGCCCCGGCGCAGCGGCTGCCAGACATCGTCCAGGGCCTCCGCGTGGAGGAGTGCGCAGCGGACGGCGCAGGGGCGGAGGGACCCTCCGTCTCCCTGCGCGTATCTTGGGCGGCGCCGATCGCCTGGTCCGAGGACGACGGGCCCATCGTCCAGTACCGCATTGCCGTCTTCGGCGGCGGCTCCACGCATGTGGGCGCTGGAGGCCGCCAGCCCATGCACCAGTAGAAGAAGACAAAACGTCGTAGAGATACAAACTTTTCGCGCTGCGCGCGGATTTCTTGGATCCGCGCTGGGCCCCCCCGCGGCGCCTCCGGCGCCGCCCCTGGCGCGCTCCGCGCGCCAGAGAGGGGGGCCTCCAGCGCAGATCCAAGAAATCCGCGCGGGCCGGCGAAAGTTTACGTTCTACGCTGTTCTCTCTTGCTCTAACCCAGACGTGCGTGGAGGCCCCGGCCTGTGAGGCAGTCATGACGGGTTTCCTGCGCGGCTCCGGGTACACCTTCACGGCTGCCGCTGTCACCGCGCTCGGTGCGGGGGCCGAGGCCACGGCTGGTTTCGACGTGCCCTCTCTCCTCGCGGCCGCGCCGCCTGGCCCCGCCAGGGTGGGCGATGTTCTCAGCGAGGCTCAGCGGGCGTTCTGCGAGCGCATGCGGCAGCGTTGGGGGAATCCGAGTAACCAGTGCCTCGGCCTCTGCCTGAATCGCGGGTCCCTGTTCGAGGACTCCGTGGCGGTGCTGGGGGCACCGGGCGCGGCGGAGGAGTACTTGCAGGCGCACCAGATGCTGCAGGTCCAGTTCGAGGGCGAGGCGGGCGTCGACGAGGGGGGGCTGCTGCGCGAGTGGCTCTGCATCGCGTGCCAGGAGGGGTGCCGGCCCGACCGCGGCGTGTTCGAGCGCCTGCAGGCCGGGCACGTGTGGCCCTCGGCCGTAGGCTGGGGGGTGGCACAGGATCACCACCCACCAAACCACCCCAACCCAACTCGAAGGCTCAGATTTACCCTCGATTTCCAGTGGGGGGGGTCGGGAAACATCGAAAAAACACATGTGGAACCCTTACCCCCCCCAACCCGAAATTCGGGTCTTCGGGTTGGGTTGGGGTGGTCTGGTAGTTAGTCACAGGAGGAGGCCAAGCTGGTGCTGCGGTTGTTGGGGAGGCTGGTCGGGATCGCCCTGGCCTCGGGCCACTCGATCGGCTTCGCGGTGCACCCCATCTTTTGGCAGTGGGCATTCCCGGCGGCGCCGGACGAAGAGGTGGACTACTTCCTCGCGCTGCGACACTTTGACCGTGAGCAGTTTGTACATAGGGCGCGGCTGGTGTGCACCCGTGGTCAGATGGCTGCTGCGCTGGGCGCGGATGGGGAGGAGGAGCTGGAGGTGCTCCTGCCAGGGTGGCGCCCGCTGGACGGGGACGAGGTGGCGGAGCTCGAGCTCACCTGGGACTACCACGACACCGTCTGCGGCACACCACTGTCCACCCCCCTGTTGCCCGAGGGAGGTGCAGCTGCCGCGGTGACGAAAGACCGAGCCGCGGAGTACCTGCGGCTCTGGTCGCGGCAGCGCATCGTGGGCTGCGTGGAAGGGGCGCTCGCCACCCTTCGCGACGGCATCCTGGAGGTGGTGCCTGGAGAGGCGCTGCGGAGGCTGACGCCCGCGGAGTTGGGGCAGCTGGCCGCAGGGGTGGTGGACTGGCGTCCCGAGGAGCTGCTGCGCCACCTGCAGGTCGTGGCCGTGTGCGACGCTGCGGGCGGCGACAACGGCGGAGAGGTGTCGCGCATGGTCCGGCAGCTTGGGGAGGTTCTGGGTGCCTTCTCGGGTCATCAGCGCGAGGCTTTCCTGCGCTACGTCACTGGCAGTCCATGCCTTCCTGCGGGTGGCGCCGCGGCGCTGCGGCCACGCCCGACCCTGCAGGTGATCAGGACGTGGTCCACAGAGACTCTGCCAGTGGCTCACACGTGTGCGAACATGCTGGACATGCCCCTCTACCCGGACGCTGACACATTGCGCTCACGCCTGCTCACGGCACTGCACTTTGGCACCGACGGGTTTGGCCTTGCCTGAATGCGACGGGCAGCTGTCCTACTGTGGACACCCAGCCCGAGCGATGCCCAGCAGCTGCTGGCCTTCAATGCTGGTTGGCAATACCAGGACCGCCCCCTACCAGAGCAATTTGATCCAGTCTCTCCACTCCGTACGCTCCTAGATGACTACATGCTTTGTGCGGCAGCGTGATCCTGCTGAGAAAGCAGACCCACTGTGGGTGCCGCCGATCGCACATGTACAGATTGATGTAGTTGTGGCTCGAAGCTTCCTTATCTCTGCCCTTGCCCTCTCATCAAAAAAGGACCGTTGTCGTCCTCCATGAACGGTGGAGGATTAGTGACCCCTTCCGATCTGCGATGTGTCAACAGTATTGTCTTTTCGAATGGAGTCTAACGCAAATTCGAGTGGCCACTCGTGAGCGGAACGCAATGGAGACCGTTTCCAGCAAAGCGCTTTCGAGTCACATACCCCAGGACGACTCACAGAAACCGCGCGCTTCGAGTAATCTGCGGCTAAAGTCGCGACATGGTAGTCGCGAATGCGTGAGCGACCCCCTTTCCCACACCAGCGCCTGCTCGGAGCTGCTCGGTCAGGGTCCTCGGGACAGTTGAGCTCGGCGAGTGCGACCAGGCCTGGCTGTTTGAAGCTCGGAGTATTTGACCTCTTCCCTTACCAGGTGTGCCCCCAGAGAAGGAGTTACTCTTCCAGGTGAAACGTGGGAGCGGCTCCTCTGCTAGCTCGGGGCCCGCGTGTGGCGAGTGGCTCGGTGGGGCGCCGGCGCACGAGTTGAGGAACGGGGGAAAGGGACGGGGGAAAGGAGGAGGAGGAGGAGGAGGAGGAGGAGGAGGAGGAGGAGGAGGACCCGCGGGGGAAGGGGGGAAAGGGGGGCTCGGCTCGCGGGGCAGAGGGACGGGGGGAAGGGGAATGGCGGAGGCCCAGCGGGGGAAGGGGGCAGGGTGCTTGTCTAGGGGGACGAAGGATGACATAAACAGAATAACTCGGAGGTCCGCGAGGATTTCTCGGATCGGCGCTGGACCCCCCTCCCTGGCGCGCGGAGCGCGCCAGGGGCGGCGCTGGAGGCTCCGCCAGGGGGGTCCAGCGCGGATCCGAGAAATCCGCGCGGACCTCCGAGTTTTTATGCTTATGTCATTTTTCGTTCCACTATTATCTGCTACATCCCATGGGTGTGCACATCTGCCAGAATCTGCTGTTTGTTCAGCACACGTCGTGTGGCATGGCTTGTGCGTTTGCTGACATGTATTTTTTGCCAATGGGTGGGCTTCCAGCTCAGCTCGCAGCCTCGTCGGGCCCAGCTTGTAGCCGTAGGCGAAAGCTGGTCGCCGCCAGCTGTGAGCGTTAGCAAACAGATGTTAAGATCGTCGCCATGATACCGCGTTCGCTCAAGTCACCGACTCGTGCTGATGTGCCCGCGCGCCAGCGCGGCTTGCGAGACGCGTTGGGAAATTTCCAGCGGTCACCACCATCGCGGCCTCGTCGGTCACCACTATCGCTAGCTGGCTGCTTTGCGCGTGAGCTCGCGCGCCCTACCGAGGCCGCAGCGACGCGCCAGCCAGCGCAGAGCAGTCATCGCACTCTTCGCCGCGGATTGCGCGAGGTGCGGAGTTGACAACTTCGAACCCGGCAATGTGAAATCTCTGTGTTTTTGTTATATATATGTATATATATATATAGAGAAACCATTGGGCTTTACCCCTCCCGGGATATCAGCAGCCCCTGGGGATGTGTTATTTGCGTGCCATCCTGCCCTATTGTTCACTCTCGCTTTGAATTCACATGATCCCAACCAAACCGGTATCGATCCCCTTCCATTCCTTGCAACAACAGGCAGTGCGCGCGCATTTCTCCATCTTCGGCGATGTTTTTGTTCCAGAATCCCTTGCAACAGACGGGGCGGAGTGCGTGTGTGCGCGTCGTCGCGCGCGCATCCCAGAACCATTTTAAAGCTGTCGGGTGTTATCAGGATTCCGAAATCAAGTGTCCCGAGAACATATACAACATACAGGGTTTCGGTACCGGAGTTTTCCGAAAAGCTTGCGCTCGCGCTCCTGCGGATTCTTGAAAGAACTGTTGGTTTTGCAACATGCTCATCACATGCGATCGAACGTGCCCCTCGCGCGCGCATGTCGAAATCATTCGAACGCCCTTACGCGCGTGCTGTCTGAAGAGCCCCACGCCAAAACTGAGACGCAGCGCGCGCGCGTCGTCGCGCGCGCATGCCAGAATCCGTCAAAACCTTGGGTTTCGTTCGGATTTCAAAATCGAGCGCCCCAACACACATTTAGAAACGATTGGCTTCGCAACTGGAATTTTCAAAGAAGCCTGCGCTCGCGCTCTTGCAACTTCCTAGGACAATTGTGGGCCTTCAACGTGTTCATCAAATGCTACCAAGAGGGCCCTTCGCGCGCGCATTTGGAAAAGGAGCTGTAGGTCCGCCGTGACACGCGCCGGCGGATCGAGAAAAACGTCAGGGCAGTGGGAGATTGGATGGGTGGGCGTGGCAGGAGCTCAGATCTGGAGCGAGCGCACCCGGCCTGCCTCCTCCCCCCCCACCCCCCCGAAGGCTGAAAACAGCGAAGCACTCGCCGCGACGATTTTTTGTCATGACCCGAGGGGGAGGAGGAGGAGGCGGAGGCGGAGGCGGAGGAGGAGGAGGAGGAGGAGGAGGAGGAGGAGGAGGAGGAGGAGGAGGAGGAGGAGGAGGAGGGGAGGAGGAGGAGGAGGAGGAGGAGGAGGATGAGGAGAGGAGAGGAGGAGGAGGAGGAGGAGGAGGAGGAGATGGAGGAGGAGATGGAGGAGGGAGGAGGAGGAGGAGGAGGCGGCGGAGGCGGAGGCGGAGGCGGAGGCGGAGGCGGAGGCGGAGGCGGAGGCGCGTGCGCGCCGCTCGGCTCGACGCGCCGAGCGCCGCCGAGGTACCACACCGCGGGGCAGGCCCCGGCCGCCGGCGGCGACGACAACGCCGGCCCGGGCGAGTGGGCCTACAGCGTCTGCCGGCTAGGCGGGCGGTCGCGGGGCCCTTCCCTTTCGCTCGCTCTTCCCCCGCTCCCGGCTCCTCGCTCCTCGCTGCTCCTCGCTCCTCGCTGCTCCTCGCTCCTCGCTGCTCCTCGCTCTCCCTCGCTCCTCGTTCCTCCTCCCCCTCCTCCTCCTCCTTTCCGCCTCCCCATCCTCCTCCTCCTCCTCCTCCTCCCCTCCTCCTCCTCCTCCTCCTCCTCCTCCTCCTCCTCCCTCCTCCTCCTCCTCCCCTCCTCCTCCTCCTCCCCCCCCCCCTCCCCGGGGGGCCGCCCCAGGCACGCCTTTGCTTGGGCAGGGCCGGCATCCAGATCTCCGCAGAGGCACCTGACAGTTTCCCGGCTTGCTGTTCCGCCGCCGCCGTTCGGACTTTCCTCGGATGCGCTTTAAGCCGCGTGGTGCTAGACAGGGAACGCCCCTGCTAGTGGAGCTCTAGGTCGCCTAGGTCCCTCAAACCGTCTGGGTCCTCCTGAGCAGGTCCTCTCACAAGGCCAGCGCTCCTCCTCCTCCTCCTCCTCCTCCTCCTCCTCCTCCTCCTCCTCCTCTGCCCCAGTCCTGCAGTCCTCGTCGGTGCGGGTGCACCTTCGTTGGTGCCAGCAGGGTGGAGCAGCACCAGGTCACCATCGACTTCGTCTTCGGGGTGCCGCACTTCCGCCGGCTCTGATCTCCGCCGCAGGATCAATTCGGACCCTGAGGGCGCACCACGGCGCAGCGGCGGACGATCGCAACGTAGAGGATGGCCAGTGTTGCGATGCTCGCGAGGAGCCGCTTAACTGCTTTCCGATGAGGTCGTCGTGACCAGTCTGTTGCTGCTGCTGCTTCTGCCAGACTTGCTTACCTCCCGATAAACTTCACGCACTGTCTGGCGTGTGGCGTTATGATCTCCAACTGGCGTCCATGCGCGCTGCGAACACGAAGCGGGGACAGCAATTCCTCTGCATCGGTGATGCGGATGATATCAGTCTTCCGAGTGATGCCGATGTCGCGAAGGATTCGCTACGTGCTCATCCCATGCATCTTCACGCGCAACGTGCCCGTGCCACAGGACTCGCGGCCAACGTCCGCGAACTGGGCCTACCTGCAGCGGCAGCAGCGCTTACTGCAGCTGAGGAGCCGCCTTTGGGATCCTTTCTCACTTATGCTGATCCCGAAGGACCTGCGGCTCTCAGGCAAGACCGCCGTCGCGGAGGACGTGGGGGGCGCTGAAGGTGCACTGGGAGCCCGCTTTCAGGGCGAAGCCAGGAAGAGGAAGACGACGCTGGTGTTGTGGAGGACGATTAATGGAGAGGAAGCATGTTGCCAACTAATTTCCAGATGTCTAAAACAGGTATTAAACATGTTTAAGACATGCCAAAACATGTTTAAAACATGTTTAGAACATTTTCCTACAGTTGAAACACATCTTAAGCTCAAGGATAGGACCGTTAGGGTGTCCATTGTCGTGGCATCCGCAACGCTGGCGAGGAGGACGAAGACGATGACGGCGGACGATGGCGATGACGACGTCGTCACGCTTGCGACGACACCGCCCCGGGCTTGGTGCGCCTCGCGCCTGGGTCGCCCCGCGCCTGGGGCCGCTGCTTTCCACGCCGTCGTCGCCCCCTCCGCGCCCTCCTCCGACGCATCCTGGTGAGCCCTGCTCCTCCCCATCCGCCATCTCCCGCTCCTGCTGCTGCCGCTCCTCCTCCTCCTCCTCGTCCTTCCTGCTGCTCTCGCTCCTGCCGCGGGCTCACCCGCCGCCTGCGCCCCTCCAGGTGTGCACGGCTGCCGCGTGCGATGGCGCCCAAGACGATGAGGGGGGTCATTTGGGGGATCTGGGCCTGGTAGGACACCCGTCGGAGGACAGAGGAGCGATCGGCGCAACGGAAAGCGATGGGTGTGAGCGGCAGGATGTCAGATATAGCGCGAGCACGCCGAGCTTGTCCTCCTCCCTCCTCTTTCCCCTTCGCCTGCCCTTATGTACTTACTATTCGTTGTCTCCTCCGCCCTCCTCCCGCCCATGTGTGAACTCCAGCAGCCGAGCACCGGCGCAGCAGTGCCTGAGCCTCGTTAGTCGTTGTCCTCTTCCTCCCCCTTCCCCTTCTTCCCCTCCACTGCCCTCCTCCTGCTGCTCCTCCATCACTGCCCTCCACTGCCCTCCTCCTGCCCTCCTTCATCCCCTTCTTCCCCTCCACTGCCCTCCTCCTGCTGCTCCTCTTCCCTGCGTGCCCCCTCCAACGACAGGAGTCAGCCACGCGCAGAGGGGGGTGGGGGGAGGGGGGAAGGGC